GGAGTCCAGGTCTACCCACCCATTCCCACTACAGTGGTAGACCTGGCCTCCAGACTCCAGAGGCCAGGTCTACCAAAGTACTGGGAAGGGGTGGGTAGACCTGGACTCTGGAGGCCAGGTCTCCCACTGTAGTGGGAATGGGTGAGTAGACCTGGAGTCCAGAGGCCAGGTCTACCACTATAGTGGGAATGGGTGGGTAGACCTGGCCTCTGGAGGGGGGGCGCTCCAGGGAGGGGGGTAATCGAGCCAGGGGGAGGACGGGGGGTGGAGGAGATGGGGGAACCAGCGGGATAGGGGGGGAACTTACCTCCTCCTGCTGCTTCCTCCTCTTCCTCATAGTTGTGGAGCTCCCCCTCTCCCGCGAGTATCGCGGGTCCCCTCCTTGTGTTTCCTAAGCCCTATTCATTTCTTGTGCCAGCAGACAAGGCTGTTCCGTCATGTCCCTAAACTTAGGTTGTGATTTTAAGTACACTTGTTTGGAGGCCATTCAAATGTTCAGAATGCTCAAAAATGCTCCCTAATGGGAGGGACTCTGCACAGGGGAATTGTGCTGTTTGCACTCTCTCCTCTCCTTGCCCACGTTTGTTCCTGACCTTTTGCTTCCAGGCATGTTTAACACAGAAACCTTGGCTCCCTTTCCTTGTTGACCTAGGTGATTTCCAGTACAATCTTATGCAGAGTTACTCCGGTCTGGGCTTATTGAAATGAATGGGCTTAGACCGTAGCGACTATCTATAGGACTGCACTGTTCTAGTAGTTGATCCAGGTTCTGAAATCTCACAAAGGGCACAGAATTCTGCCCAAAATTACGCATTTGATTTTTACAATCCCATTGACTTCTACAGGAGAGATTTAAGCACAGATTTCATTCCCTTGTTTGAATAAAAAGTGGGACACAAAAGTGCTTAAATTTGGCTGTGCTGTACAGGACAGCATCTGCTTCCGAATTCCTGATTTATGAGTTATGACTAGTAGATTATGGGGGGGGGGGGGGTTACTTGTCTGCATTTTCATGCACTGTCTTTTTGGGGGATTGGTGTTAGACCGTGGGGTAATGCTTTCAGTAAATATTGTGGGCTTTTTGTGGGGGTTGTAAGCTGTTTTGTGCTTTTGAAGATGTGGGGTAGGATTGTTTTATTTAAGGGGCCACGTGGGAGGGGCCGTGGCTCAGTGGCAGAGCATCTGCTTTGCATGCAGGAGGCCCCAGGTGCAACCCCAGACATCGCCATTTAAAAGGAGCTGATGATGTGGAATACCTCCACCTTGGGGAGCACCTGCCGGTCAGAGTAGACAGTACTGACAGTCAGGCTCATGTGTCTGTAAGGCAGAGATGTTCTGCCAGGCTTTTGGTTGAGGGCAGCGACAGTTTACCTCCTGGCTGGCACCCTCCCCCCTTCTCCCCAGACTGTTTTTACTTCCTCCCCCCCACACCTGTGAAGCAATCACATGCCAGCAATGGGGGGAAACTGTAATTTCACCATGTGATTTTTAATTAATGTAGAAGAAGAAGAAGAGATTGGATTTATACCCTGCCCTTCACTACCCAAGGGAGTCTCAGAGCGGCTTACAAACTCCTTTCCCTTCCCCTTCCCACTACAGGAACCCTGTGAGGTAGGTGGGGCTGAGAGAGCTCTGACAGAAACTGCTCTTTTTCAAGAACAGCTCTTATCAGAACTACGGCTTGCCCAAGGTCATCCAGCCAGGTGCAAGTGGAGGAGTGGGGAATCACACCCGGTTCTCCCAGATTAGAGTCCGTGCTCTTAACCACTGCACCAAACTGGCTCTCAATTAATACCACTACTAATATAATACCAATTAATTAATATAATACCAATTAATTAATATAATACCAATTAATTAATATAATACCAATTAATTAATACAATGCCAATTAATTAATATAATGCCAATTAATTAATACAAATACTAATACTAATTAATACCAATTGGTATTAATACCAATGCTGTTTGTATTTATTTTATAGTTTTAATGTTTTTATTATGTCATACATCACCCAGAGCTCTACAATAGTAGAGATTGGGCAATTCATAAATATTATAACAACAACAACAAGAATACTGATGATGATGATAGACAAGAAGCTGTTTTTAATTATGGAGAAGCTCCTGTCCCTAAATTGCACCAAATGATAGCCCAGGCTGAAAGGGGAACTTAGCTCCTAGAGTAAGTCCACTATGCATATGGTAGAGGGAAACCCAGATGTACTACAAGCGCACCCCTAACAGAGGGCAGCAGCCAATCTTGGTCCTTAACCATCACAGTGGTATGACAGCAGCATTTGCAAACATGTCTGCACAAACTGATGCCGTATATTTTAGGAATTTTAGGACATATATGGTGTTCCTTCAAAAATGCAACATTTGATGTGGTTCCTTTAGAACACTTCTCTATAAAAGATATATTTGGGCTTCAATGACTGGGATTTGGGGGATCTGGGATCCATATTTAATTTGTTCTGTCCTTTTTTTCTTCTTCAGAAAATGAAGGCACTAAGGGCTTTGAAAAGGATGACAAGCCTTTGGAAGAGAGAGAGAAATACAATAGCTTGAAAGGTGGGAGGCATCACTCTCTGGAGGAAACCACGCAGGCTGAAGAGCCTTCACGCGTCAGAGATACTGGAAGCCAAGAAATGGGAGAAGAGCCCTCCAAAGATTTAGAAGATGCCAAGAGATGGAACAAAATGGATGAGCTGGCCAAGCAACTGACCACGACGAAACGTACAGAAGAAAACGAAAACGATGAAGACCCAGATCGTTCCATGAAAGTGGCTTTCCAGACTCACAAGTATGACTTCCGTAACCCTGAAGAGGACGCGAGGAGCCCCCAGGCGCATCACTCAAAAGAGGACACAGGCGAAGGAGGCTTCCCGCTTGTTGCTTTGCCCGAAGAGAAGAAGGACGAAGAAGGCAGCGCGAACAGAAGAACAGAGGTAGGACATCATTTGCTGCACTCATTTAGAAGCGTTTGTCAAGTGTTAGAAAACTGCAAAGGGAGGTACCCCTTTCATTTTGTGATGGACTTTAGCTCCAAATTATGTCCTAGTTGCTAGGCATGAATGTTCATTTAGCTTTGTTGTTTTAGTTTGGTCAATCTTCATTCTGGTAACTTTGTAAAAAGTAAAGGTAAAGGTTCCCTTGCTCGAAAGCCAGTCGAATCCGACTCTAGGGTTGTGGTGCTCATCTCTGTTTCAAAGCTGAAGAGCCAGCGCTGTCCGAAGATGTTTCCGTGGTCATGTGGCCGGCATGACTAAACACCAAGGCGCACGGAACTCTGTTACCTTCCCACCAAAGTGGTCCCTATTTATCTACTTGCAATTTCTTGCTTTCGAACTGCTAGGTTGGCAGGAGCTGGAACTAGAGATGGGAGCTCACTCCATCATGCGGCACCCGGGTCTCGAACTGCTGAACTACTGACCTTCCACAGCCTGCAGTTCAGCATCGTAACCACTTGAGCCACCGCAGCTTTGTAGTACCATACAAAACCCAAAAAGAACTGTGAAAAAGTGACGCTTAATAAATTTCTTTAAAGAATTATACAAAAAGTGAACAATAATAATATACATAATAATAGAAAAATGATGGTGATCTCCAGAATGTCTTGCCGTTTCTAAGGTAGATCTTCTTCTGAACAAAAATGTGAGACAAATACTGTCTCTCAGTAATTCATTTCCTCTGGTGACATTTCAAAGATATTTTCAATGTTCATAATAGCTGTAATATCTAATGGAGCCTACCATGGGCTATTGGTATTGTAATTATTACAGCTATTATGAACATTGAAAATCGTCATTAGTTTGCTCTGGAGCCATCCTTCCTGAGCTAAGACAAAAATGTGTGAGCTGGAGGCTAAAAAACTGTGAGCCAGCTCACACTAACTCTGCTTAGAGGGAACACTGGAGTGCTTGTATTTTGACAGGGCTGCAGTCGCACAGCCCTGACTACTGATCAGGTGAAGGGACTGGATGCAGGGTCTTTATCAGGAGGCATGGCACTTTATCCAGCTGTAGCTATTCATGTCTGCCTCTTAACTGGCGCCGGGGTGGTAGCATTTCATGAAGACGTGGTTAGAAACGAGGGAAGGAATCCAGTGGGCTCTGGGTCGAATGCATGTTGTGTTTAGATATGAGCTTGAAGTGTTTCTGAGCAGAAAAGGAAATGTCTCAGAAAGCAAAAATAACTTTAATCACAGTTGGTATTTAAAAGTCAGGCTGCTTTAAAAAAAATGCTGAGAACTTCAGGGGTAATGGATGAAATCTCAAGCAATGGGCTATGGATGGGAGATCAAACAAGAAACTAAGCAGAAGTGCTTTGCCATTCCCTTCCCTCTGCGCTGCAGCGCCTGCCTTCCTTGGCGGTCTCCCATCATCCAAGTCCTGACCCTGCTTAGCTTCTGAGTTCTGATGAGATCGGGCTGGAGTGTGCTATTAATGGCAACCCTAGGAGCCAAGCCAACAAACAGGGAGGGGAGTTGCTGGCCACGGCACCAAGTCGTATTTCAGCTTCTTTGGTATCGTTACGGGGAGTTTTCCAGTATACAGCTCATGTCTGTTTAGCACACAACATCACCATGTTGCCAAAGAACTGGCAAGATGCTCCCAAGACACCAGGGAAGCAACCAGAAAACCTTGGCGACAGTCTCTCCAGAGCCAGTGGCAGAACAACAGCCCTCATTTTCTGTTCAGGAAAAAAGAGAAGCAAGAGCTGGGGCAGGGTCAGTGGGGAGAGCAGGGCTCACCGGTGCGGATGTAGTCCGCTGTCCGTGTCAGCACTGCTAAGGGGAGATGGAAGTTTGATGCAGGTGCGATTGTTCAGACACATACAAGATGCATGATCAACAGCACTGGTGCATGAGATCCATTTGAATCTCGATGCAAACTGCTTCACAGCCACAAATTATTTTCCATTCATAACACCAGCCGGGCTTCCCTATTTCACACTACAGAGACACCACGTTGAACTTCTGTTTGCTGGCATGGATGTCTTTTCAGTCTTATCTTGTGGACTGGATTCAGAAGCTGCTACAGTGTTGTAAACAGTAACTCTTGTGCTCTGCATCGAGCAAACATATATCCCCCCCCCTCCAATGGAGCAGCAGATGTCTTCCTGTTGCACATGGGAGAGCTGATTGTTGTTCCTGTCCCAGGAGTGGGCCTGCATCAGCCACGTCTCATTGACTATACTGGTACCCAAGCACTCCTGATGTAATTTGTGGGCTTGGAGGAGGGACACTGAAATTCAGACCATGACGTCTGATGCCAGAACTGGTTGACAGAAGTGCCGGCCTTCATTTGGGTTAGATAGGCTTCGATGTTCAGCAGTGCAGCACAAGAGGAGGGCAAAACCTCTGCTTCCACCTCCTACTGCAGCCTTCTGTGCCCCCTCCCCAAATTGTGCTCCTGTGCATCAGGGGCCCCATAGGAATGATGTGGGGATAAGTGAGGTTTGCAGATGGTAAGGAGAATTGGTAGAAATCACCTTTGCCTCCTCTGCCAATGGAACCGCTGAACCACAGTTACACCAATGGATTTGGAATGGCGACTCAGGATCCAGGTCAGATAATCTGCAGAGGAGCCTTGCACAGGTGTAACTTACTATCATAGCAGAAATCAAAAATCTAAGTGTTTGTTCTTAAAAAGCAGGAATTCTTAATTTGAACGGGTGGCAAAATTCTGGGCACAAAATTCTCATGTTACCGTGCTACAGGATTTTGATATTTTTTAAAAAAGGACTCCATGTCTACAGTGCACGGTTGTCCTTAGTTACTGGCCGTCTGCACAGAATCTGATTGCTGCCCCTGTTGTCCACTATTAACAGCCAGGAAAGGCAAAACCAATTCCAGCCCCCCCCCAACTACCCATGAATATCCAGTGGGTTGGATCTACTGAAGCGTTCCTGTAGACAGCAGGATTTCTGTCCATGCAGCATGACTTTCTCCTCTCTCTCTCCCTCTACAGCCCATGCTGCTTGTGTGTGACAGGGACCCCAAGGAGCAGCATTTCTGGGGGGGGTCAGTATTTGGGGTGGCAGCAGGCAGAGGGAGGGGAGGACGTTTTCCTACATCTGTGGAAACGGTCTGGTGGATTCAAGCCAGCAGCTTATGGTACTTGTGGATGGTTTGAGTGGTGCAGCCATTCTTAAAATGTGGTGCAAACACCTTTTTTAATTTATTTATTTACATTAGACTTGATATCCCGCTCTTGTCCCATGGCTAGGGTCTCAGAGCGGCTTACAGGGTTTCTGGTGCTAATCACCGGTGTTCCTAGCTAGGGCCACAATGTATGAAGGGGGGGTGGGACAACCTACCGGCACCCCCTCTGTGGTGGCTATTGCTGTTTCTCCGTTGGCTCGGCATGGTTGGGTCTCCTAGTCCAGCGGGTTGATCTTTCTCTGGCGTTCTCTGGCGTCTCCGGCGTTCAGTGGTGGCGATCTCCTCCTTAGGCGCGCAGCTCCGCCTACTTTCCGGCCCGGCCACATCCTTTCCGGCTCCACTGAGCCGGAACTCGGCATCTGCGCATGCCCCTTTCTTCTCTCTTCACGGCAGCCCTCGGTGTACTCCTTCTCCGCCGCCAGGGATCGCTCAAACGCGCACCTTGCCTTGCTCGCCGCCGCCTTGCTCGCCGCACCACCAATGCCGTCCACGCCAGGATCGCCGCCGCCATTGTTGCCGCCACTGCTGCCGTCTCCGCTATCTCCACCATCTTCAGCCGACCACACAGGGTGCCCCCCACCCCTCTAAGGGTGGGTACCCATTTACCTACTTGCAATTAGGTTGCTTTTGAGACCGCTGGGTTGCCTGCACTCACCCTAAGATAAAATGCCTAAGAACCACAGGCTGAAAACCAAATTCTCTGTCTCATCCCTGTGCATTAGCTTAGCTATATGGGTCGCTTTTCTTTCAGAAGTGGGATAATCAGCTAGTGTTTTTGCCTACATTCTTGTAAGTCTTGCTTTGAACCAGTTTCAGTACAGGACTTTGCATGGCCTGTCTTGCAATATGCACTGCTTATGGGTCTGCTTCTTACACAACGCTTGCCCAATCCTGAACTAACCTCTAAACTGGGGAAGAGAGTACAGCTCCCCCACTCCATACACAGTCATGTAATATTATGCAAGTACGAAAATAATATCTTGGGATGGCACGGGGAAAACATCAATTCATTTGGACAGCAATGGCGAAACACATTTTATGCTAGGGATTAGTCAGAAATGGATTGAGAATCAAACAGCAAGCATCATAATGCCTTTATATGAGTCTGCAGTGCAGCTGTTTTTGGATACCTGTGTGCTGTTTTGCCTCATCTTAGAAAGGATTTTGTAGAGCTGGAAAAGGTGCAGAAGAGGGTAACCAAAAGACGTAGTAAGAGCATCTTGGCTCTGAGGAAAGGCTTTTGAGACTTTTTAATTCAGAAGAAAGGTTGTTTCAGAGGGGGCAGGATTGATAAGATTATGTCCAGGGTGGAGAAAATAGAACCTTTTCTCCCAGTCGCATGTCATTAGAGCTGAGTCCAGAGAGTTAGCAGAGTTAGTCTGATGCAGCAACATGAAACAGAAGTCCAGAGGCAGGTGGAAAGCTAACAAAGGTTATTCCAGCCTAAGTGCCAGTGAGTCAGATCTCACTTCATCAAATGCATACGCCAAGCAAGCTTATGCTAAAATAACCTTTGTTAGTCTTTAAGAGACCAGTGGAGTCCTGTTTAATTTTGTTAGCACAGAGGTAACCCTGTGAAATTGACTGGCTATAGATTCAGGACAGACCAAAGGAAATACTTCTTCACAAAACATGCAGTTCATTTCAGGCATTCATTAACTGTACACTTCTAAGTAGACCTTGAATGCCCAGTCGTTGGGGGCAGCAGCGGGGGATAGATCCTCTAGGCAGTTTCTGGAGGAACCCACTTCCCTACTGTGGAAAATAGGATGCTGGACTAGG